TACGAATTGTTCCACCTGATAACCATTCCAGGAGCCATCGGTAGCTACTATCAAGTCCATTGTTGGTACGCTTTTGCTGGCTGCGCATTCCACGTGATTCTGTCTCAATAAGGAAGCTGAAAGAAATTACTTTATTTCATCAATACTAGGTTATTTATTTTCAACTCAAAATCACTTTTTAGAACATAGGTAAATAACCAATATGGGGCCGTTCAAGTATTACGTAAGCACTATAGGTGGGATGGGGGGGGGTCTTTGATTTTCTTATTTGTTGATTACGTCAATTACACATTGCTTATGCTTGGTATTAATTTTTTGCATTATCGAGGATTCCTACAAAAAATTAATACGCATATGTTGCTTACTTTTGCTGACAAGAGGAAGGGGGAGGGAATAAATTGCAGTCAATCTGCTTACATAATACTTGAACAGTCCCAATCTTACTGGTGTAAATAACCATATATACTATGTATACATTTTATTTACATACATCAAAAAGCCAAAAAAGTCCAACCACAATCGCCAGGTATTCTTAATTTAAATGTTCTAGTTCATTCCACATCTCATACATTCGGTCTTATTGCACACTCTTATCAATTACCTATAATACTCACATACATAATCCATAAATACTGTGACCGCTGCCTCAGTGATGCGATTCATTTCGTCCACCGGAATATACACTGTGATCTGACGTAACGATAATATATGAGCTAGTCTAGAAGTTTCCCTAAATAGCTCATCTTTAGTAACGATACTCGAGAACAAAGCCTGTCTGTTGCAAGCGCGAACTTTCGGGTCAAACGATACACCCTCATTAGAATAATACATCTCTATTATTTGCGATAGCCGTAGCGTTCTACGCTGTTCGATCCATATTGGTACGTAGTGAGATAGTATTAATCCTGAAATAGAGTAGGTAAGGCGTAAGTAAGGGTATTAGAACGAAACGATGGATATTAGAATGATGGAAAGAAAGAAGAAATAAACAAATAATGTAAAATAAATGGTGCATTACTTGTCTGTGAATAGTCAAGTCTCAAGTCCAATCACAAAGAAGCGGCAAGATCTTTCGATCCGTTTGATATGTCTTTCATTATTGTGATTGGTCAACAGTGTCTCTAGAACAATAACTGTCAACACTCTCCGTAATTTTGTTAAAAAGTTACTGTCCATGAATTTGCATAGAAATAATAATCACATTACTCGTATCATTATAAATAGACTTATCAAAAAATACTATTTAAGGTAGAGATCGCAATACGTTATGTCGTTAAGGTTGTATCGGCGGGCGAATAGTATAAGATAGGTTTCTAAAAAAATCTTTATTATTTCGTATTTGAATAAGGTATTGAAAAAATAAAAAAACATTATTTTAATATGGTCTAGCAATCTGTTTCTGGCTCCCAATGTTTGGATCCATGAACCATAAATGTAATGGTAGAAGATTGTTTAGTAACTAAATTACAAACTAGATGGCGCTAAACTACGCGATATTTTAAAATTAACTTTGTTAAATATAAACTGATTGCTAAATATATATTTTAAAATCTTAATGTTATCTTACCATCAATACCAGCGAGAATTTCTGCATCAGTCATATGCCAATCCGTAGAGGATGCATTTTGCATAAACAAATAATAGTCCCTTGGTAATAAAGTGTCATTCCATTTATTACTAGAACCAATTACCATTCTTTGTGGTGAAGCCCCGAATCTGGCTCCTTGATTAACTACGACTTCTGCTAAATCACCTGGAACGTAAATATTACATAAGAAAATATATATATAAGATTTTTCTAAATATTAATCCTCTTGTATTTTACAAAAAATCGGGCATATGACAGACTTGCGGTTATTGGCTTGTATTTTCTAAGAATTTATTGTTAATTTTACACATCAAGTATCATGATTTATGGCTCCATTATTACATGCGAAGCGAAAACAAAATACTTGGTTTATCGACATCTGAGTGATTCATCCCAGTTCCTTTCGTCTGTCCTACTCATTTGATTTAAAAATATGTAATAGACATATAAGTTTGGAAAGGTATTATTTATTTAATGACGTTCAAAATAGCAAAATAACGGATATTATATTATTTTAACTCCCTTTGCCTTCCAAGTTTGCAAATATCTTCTGTCACGTAAAAAGCGTACATATATAAAAATATCTGTAAAATGTAATATTGCGTAATACTAAACCTAATTAGTAAGTCATTTAATATGAAAATAAAATTACCGGCCAAAGTAGCAACCCATACATTGCTTATATCAGAAACATCAGTTCCAAGATCATCAAGTTCGAGTTTTTCTAACTTCGAATCCCATTCCTCAAGCGCCATATCAAGCAATGTGTCTGGTATAACTTCTTTAAACAATTCAGTTTGCAATATATCTGTAACTAGCACTTTTTGGTTCTCCAAAGACGAGGCAATAGCAGCCACGATAGTACCAGGAGTGATGCTACCCCAAGGAGTTTGAATAACGCCAACTTCTATTGGGCACCTGCTATATAACCTGAAAATGCAATTCCGACAATGAGATTTATGTTGTAGGAAACAAATTATATTTTCTTACAAATTATTACGGAGCGTACGATTTTAATTGTAAATCTAATTCTCTTAAGAATTTTAAGTGTGCCAATTCGATCAAATCGATTACAAATAAAAGTTATATTGCTGATAGGCCAAACAAAAGCCTTAATTTTCAGAATTTAGCTAGACAAAATCTGTGATCTGATTATATACCTACTTAATAAACTTATGTTATAAATTGATGTTATCGGAATGTATATGTACCAAGTGTGTAATACAACAAAGTGTTAATAAATAAACAATGAAATAAAAATGGTTTAGTTTTTAGGAATAAAAAAATAATATGATGTCAAACAGGAATAAATAGTTATCATATTCACCTATTTGCGCTTTCTGTGCTTATACTTTGTCGTTGTTCCGCTGAAAGTGGGCAGACTATGTTTTCATCTCCTCTTTCCCATGGATGGATCGAACAGCTGAGCATAGAATGCAACAAGCATTTTTCATCCAACGTTAACATTTCATTCACATCTATAAGGTCTTGAGTCGGTAGAAATAGATCCATCAACATTTTGTACTTGTGAAATTGGAAGGCTGAAGCTCTGTATGGTATTAGAAACTCTGTTTCGGGTGTATTAGCTGCATTTTCTATACCATCAAGGCGCAAACTGTAATATAAATATATATAATTTAAGTTTCAAATATTTTTTTTACAGTGAATCTCGGGGGACAAAGGGGGACTTTATTTCATATTGTGCAAGTGATTATTGTAGCGGTATAGTAACTATTATATTATAATGATTACTATACTATTATAACGTATTACTACCATAATAATGAAAGAATTGGTGCTCTTTTTAGTTACTCTTCGTGTCCTATATTAAAAATATTATACCTTCTTAATAATGATGTGCTGAAAAGTCTCAAATCAAGTCGACTCTCCAGTTCCAGTCGTCTCACTAAACTAAGGAATACATCCAGACGTTTGGGTGCCCCGATTTGGGGTCCTCCTCGGCGGTAACATGGCAGTAAGTGCGCTGGTATGCTTTGCAATACTTCTCCATATATAGCTAAATAAAATATTAACATACACGTTTCCTTATTTTTTTATAAAGATCGTGTTAATTAACTTTTAAAAAAATTTTATGTTTTTTTTGGGCCTAAGCACACAATGGCTTTTTGTCGTAATTTTAATAATATAAGTTTCATAAAACATATCTTAGGCTTCCTGATGTCGTAATAATTGTATTTCAAATAAAACAAAACTGTTTCAAATAATATAAAAATATCAGGTACCACTTTAAAATATTATCTAACAATGCGCATAATTTTTAAATACAACGAGGTAAAACGAATGCAATGTGAATAATTAAATCAAATCACTTACGGCAAAGTGTCACAAACAATAAGCACAGTATTTTCATAATTGCTACAAATTACCGTACCATTATCGTAGTGACTTTGAAAACAACGAGGCATTATCAAGTTAGTGTGAACAGATTGGCTAAGATAAGATATTTTTATTGTGTAAGTAGGGCGTTGTACTATATTGATTTATAAAAAGGTTTAGTCATTTAAACAATATAATCTGTAAAAATATTTATTTCATACAAACCGTATTTACTACAAACTTTTTGGTATAATTGTGATAGTACATTTAACAAGAGTTTTAAAACTAATCTCATATATTTTAACTATTACTTTAATACATTAAAATTATTTGTTCATTGCGGAATGTACTGTAGTTTTTTAATACAAAAACACATTATTTAATCAATTCCTTGACAATGGCAACCTGGTATTTTGAAAATCGTTATAGAAATACAAACTATGAAATTATTATTTATTTTTTCATGGTTCACGGTTAACAAAGTTATTCACTTTAGAGGACCTGTGGAGTGGCGAACAATAGGTGGCGCTTTGTTAAATTAAATAATTCCAGTTACATGAACATTTATAAATTCAATTATTTAACTGTTTAAGAATTTTAGAAAATAGTACGAACGAATTTATATAAGGTTATTACTTGTGCTAATTCTGAATCACATTTTAATAAAAGTACGCCTAAATAAAAAAAACATGTAATAACATACTGCTAATGTATCAAACATAAGTTAAAATGGTCATAATACATGATGATTGAGTAATAGTTATTGTACTTTTGAACATAAAAATCTTTACAGTTATTATGCTTTATTTTTAAAATGCAAATTGTTAGTAAATATACAACAAAATATAAATAATACAGTTCATTGATATTCATCATGAAAAAAAATTTTCTTCTAATTATATTTTACACACTTTTTTTCAAGTTCTTATTAAAATCAGCACTGTAGCCCTCATCACAACTTAATGGCATTTTATTCCATAACATTTTTGAACATCTTGGTTATAAGGAAAATTATTTGAAAGCTCAGTGTAAATCTTAAATGTAAAATAATATGTGAAATAAAGTTGGCTTATCTTTATCTTAGAACCAACTTCGCCGGTTTACCATCTACTTGACGAGATGAGCCATGTTTCAGTGTAAATTCTCTTTTTAAATATGCAAACATCAAGTCTGTTATGAGAAATATTTGTGCAGTTGCAAATGATAATGTTACACCAAAAAAGAAGTTTGCATTAGCTGATCCTGAATATATCCATAAATGCCAAACTGTTGGTCCTAATACTGATGTAATAATAAATGCACAACCAGCAATAAACTTCTGCTGCATAACTGAAATGAAAAACACAAAATTATTCCTCCAAGTGCAGATTTTGGTAATCAAGATATATACATCTGAACTATTACAAAAAGTTAGGCAGGCAATAAGGCAAATAAGTGACTTATTCAACCTGCAAATATTATTATCTGGAAATCAAATCCAAGAAATCTCTGTGTTACCATGATTGTTTACAATGAAGCCTATTAAATTATAAAAACTGTAAACTTACAAGTAAATAAATGCTTCCACATTGGTAAAAGGGCTAAGTAGAAACCAACATCACCCACACATGGATATGATCTGAATATTGTTGACAGAGCAATAAGGACTGTTGCTAATAAAACAGGTTCATTCTTAAACCTCAATGTCAGTGGCACTACATATAAAATCAGTGCATTTATTTGAAATGCACATACAAAAAGTAATCTAAAGTGTTCAAACATTTCAGTGAAAAAATACCAGAATAATCCTATATTTGGTTTGAGATCAGGAACATTTAATCTGAAAAAATATATAATTATGGTAGATATTCCAAAGTAAGTTTTATTGTAAAAAACTCAGGTTTTCAAATACTTACATAAACCCATATGTATTATAGATATAAGAATATGAACCATTCATTATATAGGCAGATGTTAAAATCAAAAAACCCCAACACAATATAAAGACTAAGAGAGTTCTTATGTATGAGCACTTTTTACAACCTTTGTTGACATCAGCAAGTAATATTGATATAGGCACAATCAAAGTTATAGGATAGAGAGCTTGATGTGTGGCTAGAGCAATGAAAATACATGCCACTAATCTATGGCCAGCAACAGATCCCCACAATGAGACAGCTAATAATAAGTTCTGGACTACAGTAGTTGTCATTCCAACACAATTTAAGACTGAATATGGATTAAATAAATACACTGACAGAACATATTCTGGCACTTCTTCTAACTGTAAATTTGTCAACATCATTGCCTTTGACTCATCGGAGATTACTTCTATATTCTTTTCCTGATTACTCTTCAAAATTCTGACAAATATCTTTGCAGTTTTATACAAAAAGTATGCTGTTAATATATCAATTAATGTAAAAACTCCTGGTAATAGGTATGGTGCATACTTCAGAAGACTGTAGAAGGATATAAGTAATAAAGGGGATTCATGAAAGGAGTCACCATCATAGGGATCTATGTTATGTTCAAATAAGTAAATGCCTTCAATTAGCCTTTTCCATGAGTTTAGAGGTGTGGCTATTTCAACTCTGTTTGATAGTGTTTGCCAATAATCTGAATGAATAAGCCAATACCTCACTAGTGCAGCCACCACATATTTTAAGACTAAACCCATTATCGATATTTAAATGCTTATTACATTTGGAATATCAAATTTGTGCCAACATTAAGTATTTACTGTACTATATAATTCTAAATTATTTTTAATCACTATTGATAAAAATCAACAATCCGGCTTTACTATTTTCTTGGTTGACAATTGACACTCAAACGTCAAAACTAGCTGACATAATATATGATATGTCAAATAGGAACTATAATGTCAAGTTTGACATTCATAATGCCCATAGACTATGAAAAAGCATAGCAACCGCGCGAAAACTGCACAATTTGTTCTTATAATATTTTTTTATCTCCATCCTAATGCGCAACAACGAGATAATGCTTGTCGTGTTTAAATTTAAGTAAGTTTTTAGTGATTTTTTAATGAGATTTCATGGTCTGGTATTGAGACCAATTTCAACGTAATTATTTTACGGGTTAGTAGTTCGTCCTTTGTCGACATTTTTATCGATAATATATTATAATACAATTTTTTTTTTTTAAACAAGAGTAATTTATCTAATGATAATCGTTAATGCGAAGCATTTATATTTAGAATCACGAAAGCGTTTATAATATATGTATAACACAATCTAATATGGATCAGAGCATAAAAAAAGTAATTATATTGCTATAAAATATAAGGCTTTTACTCACTATTTATATGTTCATTAATGTAGAGTTACCCTGGAAGACTAGTTTTCACTGTTTAAACAGACTAGACCTAACCAGTTTACACAATGCATGCAACGGTTTCTTATTCCTACGTATATTAAATACTCTAAACAACTATAACAACAGATTTCCAAAGAAGAATAACAAATTAATATATGTAGTAAAATAATAAAAATATCATATCAGCATTGAAATTTGTATTTATAATTCATAATTTTTATATTAAGAATAACCTAGGTGTAAATATTTATGATTTATTAGGAAACAGGGTATCATATGGTATTGTTAAAAATATTTTATTAGCAACTCGAGTTCCACTTTTATTCCAGTTTGCTTGAGCAAATGGTAAAAATTCTTTATACAGCAAACGCCAATTTTCATTTGTTATTTTTACGCCCAAATCAACTGAAAAAGGTAAGACAATATTTTAATTGAATGTTGAATTAAAAAAAATCATTTTGCATAAAATGCTGTGTCAGATTTTATATTACTTACTTAAGGGTTTACTGTCAGGATTTTCATTCGTAATACTTGTCTTCATGGTGCCAACATCGGGTCGCATGTAAAATGATTTTACTTTCATATATGTAATTCCTTTAATTACGTGAGGCTTTCCATTCAACTTCCATGTATACACAAGATCAGCTGAAATATAAAATGAAGTAATTTATTTATTTATTTCGTAATCCTACAGCTCACATAAATTATATAAAACAAAACACAATTATACTAAAGAAATAGCCAAAGATGGAATACGTAATACATTTAACTACAAAAAGGTTCAAAAATTTACAAAAGGAAACAAACAAATAAAAACTAGTCAATACATTTAACTAAGTGGTACCTAATTTGGCTGTGTTGTGTGATGGTGTAAAAGTGAGGGTATGTACGTGAAGGTGTGTATGTGGGGTATGCTCATGATGCAGGGGATTTTGCACTTTTTTTTGATGATTTGCTATTTTAAAAGCGTACCGAGAGTTTTTTACGCCGGCTTTTTCTCTCGGCCTACACCCTCTGTCTTCTTTGCCGATGAGTAGGGATGCCTACAAATTCAAATTTAATGACGTGGAATAAGTGATACATGTATCTTATGTTCCATAATAAACATATTTTTTTTTTATATTTTACTATGGATATTCTTAATACTTTTTTAAGCATATACCGCGATAGCTTAAATAAGTCAAGGCTTAAATATTGGTCGTTGTATGTCCGGGCTGTGCGATACAAAACTGAGTTTTTGCGTAGTTAGTGTTGAAGTGAGGAACATAAAACAAAGGACGATTACGAGTCTGGTAGGCTGGAGCAAGGAAGGGCAATTTTTCTAGAAGGGAGCTGCTATTAATTTTATTTGAGATGATGTCATAGAGTAACAATAAATCATATTGCTTTCGTCGAGAGTCTTAGTATTAATTTTAAAATGTTCACACGCGTCTTTATATATATAAAACTTTATTCTTCATTTGGTATAATATGATTCAAATGGAACTCTCTCGACCAAATTTCTATCGGAGGCGGTTATTTAGTAGAAGGAATATGAAAAAAAAAATTAACTATGAATCAACCTCGAGTAGAATTATATCTTGAAAATATTAATAAGCTTATTTAATTGTCATCCCAGTGGAGAGAATGTAAACTTACTCATAGTAGTAGAAAAGTTTCCATTAGCAAGCAGCTTCAAGGAGTTGTAACTACCGCCTCCTTCATATTCTCCATAGACTTTAACTTCCGGAGTGAACATGTCTATTTCCAAATGAAATGAATCTTCGTCTGCTTTTAACCTATGCATTAGTTACTTTAGCTGGTAAGTGTCGATTAATAAAAATAATAAACACCTTATTTAAAATAAGAATGTAAAAAAAAGTGGACAGTGGATGTAAATGGGGATCTTACTTTTAAGACAATCCTGACGAAAATTCATTATAAGGTATATAACATTATAAATAAATTAAATTGTAATAGTACCTTACTATAATTAAAATCTTCACTATAGCGTAGCGTATTAAAAAATGAAAAGGTTGACTGGTACATTTTTTTCTCTTAAATCATATATATAAATGATGCAATACGCGTACGATTTTTTTAAGAGTTTTAGTTTACTTTACTTTTATAATACCAGTATTAATTATTATTTTATCCTACAACTGTTAGTAATGTGTAGTAATTCATTCGTGATAAATGTAAGCTGTAATCATAGATGCAAACCTGCTAACCTTGGCCATAACCTTATACCCACAGTTTAGATATAATTATGTGGCCGTATATGACAAGTAATCTGTAGAAAAATAGCCCTGTCAGAAGAATCAAATGTATAAGCAAAACTCAAATATTAACGCAGAAGGGATAATCAGACTCCCTGTATCCTTAAGTATAAGTTTAATTAAATTGAATTTTACTACATAAATAAATAACCTTTAATGTACCTTGTACACATACGTACATCAATTAATATGTTTCTTTTATTATACTTACATAAAATCTATCCGCCTTTGATGTAAATAGATAATTGTTACAAACCTTGCGTCTTTAACCGTAGAACTGCTGAGGCCAGCCACAAAAATATTGCTTATTAACATTTTTCCTTGAATCTAAAACAATAGTACTTTTTTTACAGCAGATATGAATTACGAAAGATATAGTCTCTACAGAACATGATATTTCATTATATTTTTTTTAATTTCGAACAATCGGCGGAAGAGGTGGCGATGTGATCGGAAGATTAAGTCTGTCCGTTTGTTGGGCGAATGAAATAAATAAGTATTGAAATTTCATAAATATCAACCTTACTGCATGCCACAATGCGAGTTACCTTGCACTTTGCAAAATTGCAAGGAAAAAAACGTCGAAACTTCGTAGACTTTGTTTGAATATTCCTTTCTTATGTTATAGATCGCGTCTTATTTTGTGAAATAATAGAGTTTTTAACATTCTAAAGTTATGAAGAACAATGTAAATTGGATATCCTTTACATAAACATTTAACACCTTTAGCTTGTGAGGTAAATTACAAAGTAATTTTATAACCATCCTACGATGTTTTTGCTAGCACGTTCACCGAATATACATATTCTTGTTAAGAGGATTAAAACAACAAGTATAAGATTTCTTTGAGGTCAAACTGATTAGTGCTCCTTGTAAAGGGAAAACTTCGTTCATTTTGCGAAAAGGTTCTTAAAATGTTATTGTTTAACGGGTGAATACATCCGTTTTACACTTTTTTCTTAATCCTTTCAGAAAAATTAAAATTAACCTAAGTAATGTAGGTTCGGGAATATCTCAAACTGATAAAAGAGAATTCTCATTTGGGACGTATAAATTTACTTATTATATTATTCCTTTACTTTTTTTATAGACAAATATACCATTAAAATATATAGTAAAATGTAGTTACAGGGAACAGATGCAATTATTAGATACATGCGCAACTCCAAATTAGTCTCAGAAAAGATATTGCAAATACTTAGTTAAGTAGGGGAGACCGGGTACAAAAGTAACGGCGGGTCGAAAGTAACAAATGCTCTCTAGATTCATCCAATGGGCGAAAACAGCTTCGCCGCCGTCAGGCGATAGCTGAGAGTGCCCCCCTCACTTGTAGTTAGTCGCCGCGTACTCCACGCACTGTTAGGTTGTGTGAGAGGATACTACGTGTTTTTACAAACCAAAACTAAGTTTTTCGATATTTTGTTATTTAATGTTTACATAGTCGTAAAAGGATGGTAGTAATCTGAATGTTTGCATATCTATTTTTGATTAGATTGATTGTACATTGTTTAAATTTGTTTTTGTTTAGCACGTTCCGTTTTTAAGTTATATTTCATGTTTCAACAAAAATGAGGAAGGGTACAAAAGTAACATAGTCCTATGGGTACACAAGTAACAAACAAACCTAGCAAGTTTGTTGCTCAAAAAGGAACTAAACTAGTAGGTGCAGTAACCTCAGAACGTGGAAGATTAGGAACTGTTGCTGTTGCCATTAATGCTCAAGGAGGACACATACCTCCTTTTTCGTATTCCCATTTAAACAATTCCAAGACCACATGATTCTTGAGGGTCCTGTTGGTTGTGCCGGAGCTGGCAATGCTAGTGGATGGATGCAGAATGCAGAACTTTTACTTTTTAAATAAATAATTGTTGATTAAACATATAATATTGTATTAATTACCAACCTCTTCGTCTTGTTACTTTCGACCTGCCTACGTGGTCGAAAGTAACAACTGATGATTTTTTTTTAACTCTCTGTTATTCATATAAAACACACCATAGTAAAAAAAATCGAGCTGCTAGTGTAAAGAACATAAACTGAATTTATATATGGTTATATTAATTTAATGACAATATTAAAACCTGGCCACAAATCAAGTGTGAAGTACAAAGTGTTACTTTTGTACCCGGTCTCCCCTAATAATAATTTAGTTTATTATGTTTTAAGCTTTGCATTGACATTTTACCTTTATAACTAGACTATAATTAAAGTTAACTCCTAATTTCGTACTTCTTGCTTCTACGAAAATAATAAGGGAACAATTTTAAGGAGCGAGAACTATTGAACTTGTATGAATCTGTACAAAGATGGAATTCCAAAGAAGATTTAAAATTTCCTGCCCTAAGGGATAATTTCGTTTGTTTTTAATCAATTTTCCTAGTCCTGATCAAAACACATAATTTAATTAAGTTTTACAATTAATTATGTTTAACCTGCCAAATAAAGTGTTCGACATTTTTCCCAGTACTATGTATATGATATTATTATGCGACTTAGGAAAAAAATTTACTCACTACGGTTTACTGTGTTAATCGACTTCAAATATCCATATAATATTTCTACGTGCCTGGTTGTGCCTGGACGGTGTGAGTATAGCGCAATGTATAAGCACATGTTCTACGGTTTGTTCGCCATTAATGCAGGTAGGCAGGTATTGTTCTTGTCTTAATTTTAAATCTATGCAGGTAATGTGCAAAGGCTCCGTGCCCTGTAAGAATTTGCGCCATCTGGGGTGTGAAACGCTTCTCTTTTTTTAACTTAAAGGTATGCAGCTCTAACATCTCCAATGAATATTTTTGAAGTTCCTGCTGTGTCACCCCCCCCAAGTAGCGCTCATTCCATACTTCTAACGTCTTTTGTCTTATCTGGCGTTTAATATATGACAGGGGATATGCGGCGAATTCAGGTTTTGTTATACGTTTTTCCGCCGCTTCTTTTGCTTACGTGTCCACCCACTCGATCCCCGGCGTACCAACGTGCGCCTTTACCTAGAAGAGGCTTACATGCGTTCCGCTTTTGCGGCAATGTTCCAGGCTCCGGCGGATCTCAGCTATCTGGGGATCGAGAGATCGTCCACTCACAATTGCATCTAATTATTTTTATTTACGTGTTTAGTCGCGTTCCGAAGCTCCGCACATTCGGCTTGAAAGACTGTGCATCTTAAGTGGGATCAGGGATGTATACTTTGCCTAGAACAGTTAGTAAGCCTATGGGTCTGTAAGACTTCGGGTTTGTATAATCGGCCTTACCTGGTTTTCGCAATACAATTATTGCAGCAATTTTCAAAATTTTGGGGACGTAACCCAGGTTCAGGCTTAGAACGGTAAGTAATAAATAAGTAAGGCGCCGCGTTTATCGCGCGCCAACTCATGTCCGGTGTTATGCCATCTTCTCCGGGGGCCTTTTTTGGGTTAAAACTGAGGGCGGCGGTTTCGAGTTCAGTCATTGTGAAAGGGGTATCATACATCATTATGTTCCTATTTATTTACTGTGTTTGCTCTTCTCCTAATCAATTTGTAGTCTTTAGTTTCATCCTCACTAGTGTCTTCCGTATTTATGTACGTTACCGCATAAATGTTAATGATTTAGTTTTCTAACAATTCGTATTCAAAAGGTTTATTTTATTCTTATATATAATGGTAGGAAAAAAAAACATTTATATATTTCCACTCCAAATAACCTTTTCTTAAGTTAATATTTTAATCGGATTTTGTAAAATGCTACATACCTGATTATTATTGTATTCCATTTTCAATTCATCCTGGTAAAAAGGATCCAATGCGGGGACTCCTAAGTCTGCGTTACCTCCAGCGAGATCCTTTATCCCCTTTTGAACGGCCTCTACCAGACATTCGTTAACTTCCAAAGAATTTCTGTCACATATTTTTAAATAATTTTCTGCAAAACGATATATATAAATTATAAAAGTACTAGAAGTGTAAATTAGAATAAGGTTTTGTCTCGTGGAAATCCTTAATAACCACGCTATAACGAATATACTTACCAATATCGATAGCCGCACAAACCACAAAAAATATAAATACAAAACAAATTTTATACATCGTGACCTATTTTTATTACTACTGAGACGACCTAGTGGCTGTAAGTCTGAGCGGTTTTGGGCCTGAGGCAACATTAGCTGTCGTGGTGTTGCATAAACACAGTCAATGTCAGCAGGTTCTGCACAACTATGACGTGTTTTAATAAAAATATAATTAAGACATCATCAAATATGAGTAAAAGTAAAAGTTTCGTATGTGAGTATATTTTGTAGAGATAAAGGCATTAGAACTTCCTTAAAGGAGCTAATTTATTAAGACTCATGGAAAGTCTAACAAATGATGTCGGATTTAATTTCTATGAACATACATAAAATTGGTTTTCATAGAGAACAATAAACAAAACAATTGGATTTCGACAATTTGATAAGTCCTAGAGTGCAACGTACTATAAGCTTTAATTTATTTATAAAAATATATCGAAATCGCGTAAGTGTTTTACTGGTAAATGACACCATTGACCGTTATGAGTTAAGAATTAAATTATTTAATTAAATACTTTACTTAAGATTTTGGTATGTTTGTATTTAGAAAGCTGTTAAAATAGTTACTTTAGTTTTTCTAATGTGATGCGTTATACACATTGATAGCAAACAAGAAAGTACTATTTTAACTGAACATTGTTCGACATTATAATATTTATAATATTAATCAGACATAAGAATAACTATCTACTCGAAAATCTTTTCTGGCATCTCTGTATATAATAATTTAATTTATATTTTATAGAAATCACTTCGAATTTTTAAGCATAACTTCGGTTCGCCAAACATGCTCTGAATAAGCGGTAAGGCGTAAAGTTTTAAAAAAAAATATACGTTGGTATGATACATAAAGATTGTATTTTAATTTTTGGTATCATTTATGTTTACCAAAATTGTCATATATTTAAGAAAATATTGCTTGTAACTTATACTGTAGATTTAGTATAATGTATGATGTGTTGAACTTTAATAAATAAATAAAGACCTTATATTATATACGATTTAGCTACATAATCATTTTAAGAATACCAATTACACATCTAGAAAAGTTTACTGTAGTTGAGACATATTTAATTTTCCTACAATAAATATTTTGTTACAAATACTACCCATAGTAAATTACACGACTATCGTGTTATTAACGCCAAGTTGATGGTTCCCTATTTTGTACCTTATAGTACTGAAACAAAATTTACGGACCTATTGTATTTCTTGTGTAAAGGGTGCTATTCAAAAATGAAACTTACTACGACTTCCGTATGTAAAATCTAATACATTTTTACTTAGCACTAAGCCTCGTCTCTGAATCTTAACCCATAGTACTTTATTGCAGTTATTTTTTTATTTAAATAGTTAACTACATATTTCTAAAACGGAACAAGTACGGTTTTATATATTTTTGCCATAAGTTTTACATGGAGTAGGATAGGGCGGGGCTAGTTGAGCAATTTTTCACTTGATTGGATATAGCTCCTCAAAGATAAGTCTCAATGAGTTGTTATGCATCTTGATGGATTAGTAATTTATCCCTTAACAAAAGTGTAAATAGTATTTTTTTGTAACAAGTCCAATATAATAGCTACAGATGTTGAAATGGGTGAGGTAAGTTGAGCAAGGGTAACTTTACTTTACTTTAGGACTTGTGCGAAAAACTTTTGGTGGTTTTTGGGGTTTCGCTAATATTGCGAATCTTAATACTATTCCCTAAGCATTATGGATGGTCTCCTTTATCATGTGTGCCTTTACTTACTCATTATAAACTTATCTCTCTATCATCATCATTTATCCAAGTCGAAGTTAAACTATAGTTCAATTGATTCCACAAGGTCTGTTCTTGGGCCCCTTTTGTGGAACATTGGATTTGATGCTGTCCTTCGAGGTAGACTGATGCCAGGAGTAGGTTTAATATGTTATCTGATGATACACTTGTGACGGCCAAGGGATTAATTATCAGGAGGCGAGTTTGTTAGTTACTGCTAGTGAAGAAGTAGTGACTCGTATAGACAACTTGGTCTTCGAGTGCTCTACAAAAATCAGATGTCATATGTTTCGCTAGGAGGTCACCACCTAGAGGCGCTAGATAATAGTGGATGGTGTTCATATGGCATTAAATCGACTTAAATACCTCGGGTTGGTTATTGACGCCCATACTTTCAAGGCTCATTTTGCTGCCCTGAACCCAAGCTTGATTCAACTGCAATGGCATTGGTCGTATAATGCCAAATATCGGTGGGCCAGGCGGGGCTTAGGCTCCTTTATGCTGGTGTGGTGCGTGCAAAGGCCTTTATGGGTGTCCGATATGGGCGGATAAGTTGTCTTTTTACAACAAGGCTTTACTGAGACGGTCACACTAAAGTTGCCATAAGAATTGCTAGGGCATACCGTACCGTATCCTGTGACGCGGCATTGTCATAGCCGCCACTCCGCCTTGGCATTTGGAAGCTTTGGCTTTGGGTAAAATTTTTTGGAGAAGAGCTGAAGCCAAGTGGTGGTTTGACCCACCTCTGGAGGTAGTCAAGGTCTGAAGGAGGAGTATCGCCGCCTAATTTTGCTAGAATGGAGGGATGAGTTAAGTAATGTCGGTTTGGTTTACAAACTTTGATCTTATTCGTCCCTTCTGAAACACTGGGTGGACCGACGGTGGGGATCGCTTTCCTATCGGCTTTCAGGTTCTCTCTGGGCATGGATGCTTTGGGAGTTACCTCATCGAATCGTTGGAAGAGAGGGACACCTCTTGTCATCATTGTGACTGTAGAGAGGATACGGTGAGGCACACTGTTGAGGAGTGTCCGGCTGGACGGCTTTCGCTCGGTCCTTGCTGATAGCATTGTTGGCAATCTGTCGCTTCCACTAATTATCCAAAGAATGGTGGAAGCTGACAATGACGGCCCTTGGAATGCCTTCAAGGCTTTTTGTGAGGCCGTCATGACTGAGAAAGAGAATGCGGAGCGTCAGCGTGAAAATAATTCTGATGCTCCGCCGGTAAGAAAACGACGACCGGGGCAGCGACGCCGTGCTTTCGCACGTCTGCCCTAAGTTAAGATGCTGATGATTTGTTCGTGGGAGGAGTCACGTTGATATTGTGGCATTCGCGTTTGGCGGGGGTAAGGATAGGGCTCAGCTGTTACCTGCCTCCGCCCTTTGGCGAGCCGAAGGCATCCGTCAGGTTTTAGTGGGTAGGTGTGAAGATATTATGTCTGAGTCCCACATAATCCCTGCTGAATTTTACTCCAGCAGGGATATGCGTAAAAGCATTTCCTGACGTAAAAAAAAAAAAAAAAAAAAGGGTATGAGGCAAGTTGAGCACTAAGAATGTCTAGGCCAAACCATGGGTTCTATGTTAACTTGAGATGAAGTAAAATATGTGTTTGACAGTCTGCTTTTTGTTTATAGTCTTTTATTGATAGAACAACAAAACTTAAAGAAATTTTCTTTGTATAATTAACCGAAACTAGAATCAACAAAACATGAGCATCCATATCTATCCATTACTTCCGATAATTTCTAAAAAAGGCTTTACCATTCTGCGCATTAAATTGATGTTGCGCTACCAAGGCTGGTGGGTTTCGTTTTTTTTTAAAACATCATAAACCAAAATTTTCCGGCCAACTTATTTGCAATTTAGCTGGGTGGAATTTCAATGCCAAATTTAGCAGGACACTCGTAGGCACGGCGACGGACGTCTTTTTGAGAATAGTGCCATCTGTAGCAAGTATTTTTTCTTACAGTCCTCCTGTGTGGGAGAAAATACTTCCCTCGGTTTTGTATAGCCCATACATGAATCATCACCTGCATTTAATTTATTCAAAAGTCAACCAATACCGAATTCTTTAGCGGCGGCATTCACACTTTTTTCCTCATCGTGGACAGCCTTTGCAGCATTATTTAAGTCTTCAGTAGTGTAAGAAGATCTAGTAGTCTTCCTCTTGTAATGCCGCATCCAAACAAAAAATAAAAGATTCATTACTTCAGTTGTTTAAGTCGTGGGGTTAGTAGCTCAACTTACCCCAACCCGGAATTGTAAAACAAAAATGAGGTTGTAAAAAAATGGCTAGAATTAGACCCAAAACCTATTTACAAATCAAAAATACAATAATTTTCTGGAAGATTAACACTGTTCTGAGTGAAAACAGAGAACATTTGACAAAGACAGACGAAAACTTGCGATAAACAATGTTTTTACTTTTTGGTCACAAAATAAACAAAACGCCGGGGCACTTCACTCACTCATCGAGCTGCCACTAGCGATCGCGCGATGAATCCACCTCCCACGACTCCTTCTTTTTGCCTTTTGATACCCCCGCTAAAGTACTTAGCAATATTTACACGATTTCGAAAAAACGTTTACATTTCGACGTAGATTCTTTCTCATATTTATGCCTCAAAGGTAGCTTAGTTTAATTGAGACCATTTTTGACACTACAAATGTATCAGGACTGACGTTGTGTACCTCGACTTCTGTAAAACCTTTGACAGAGTTGATGGTCGAGGTCCTATACAATGGTTGGGTGGTTGTTTTCAAAACATGCTCTGGAATAAGCCAATGTTTGAACCTTAGACCACTGCCATTTCTTATGGGCCAGGTGATTGGATTGATTGTATCACTCACAAAGAGTTACTGGGTTTCTTTTTCTAGCTCTCATAATAACATCACCGATACTTAGAAATAAATAGTAGGATAATAAATAGTAGGATAATAAATAGAGTACCGTTAAAGATCTGGGAGTAATCTTGCGCCTAGTCATAGTTTTCGCGAACACGTTCGTTTAGTATCCGTATTAATAGTATAGTAATATGGATGCTTTATGAAGGAAAATACAATCTGATTGTAGAAAAAGTACAAAAACGGGGGCTTAAGGTAACAAAATTATTGAGGCAACTTTATTGGCGTAAATATTATTATTAGCGCTTCTTGTACTCATATGCGTTTTTCCTGTACACGTTGAGGTACGGGGGAGAGAGCAATCGACAATCTACTTTGCACTAAAAGTTTTGAGCGGTACAATACAAGACGGCATG